GTAAAATTTACTTATAAAAGATGCTTCAGTGGGTCCACTATTTTATTCTAGTTTTTTCTAGACTAGCTTCTAGTTTTGTCTGAATACTTTTTTAAAAGACTTTTTATTTTAAGATAATTTTAGATTACAGAAAAGTTGCAAAGATGGTACAGATACTTCTCTTATATTGTTTACCGTTTCTCCTAATTTTAACTTTTATAGGTACTTTTGTTAAAAATATCTGATTTTTTTTTTAAAAAAACTTACCAATTCTTTTGTTTTTCCAAATTTTAGGGTCCCAAAGCAAAAAAGGTAGGTGGAAATTATTTTCTCAAAATAGTTTTATAAGCACTGACATTGTACAAATAGAATTTTTAAATATTTTTCATTAGTTTTATTATAGTTTATAAAGTTTACTAAGCTTATTTGTAGACATCAATGTTATTTAAATCATGGATTTTTCAATAACAGGATATATTTCAAATTTGACCTAAAAAGATATTTCTAGTTTCACAAAGACTTAAGAATAACCTTTTTTTTTCTTTTTCTTTTTTTACTTATGCCTGTAAGGCTTTTTATTACCTGTGCTCTAGAAAATGTTATATTAGGAACCTCTTTTCTTCATTTCAGATAAACACATAAAAATTTAATTGTAAAATCTGCTATTACTTAAAAGTGGACCGTAAGGTATTATGTGCTTAAATGGGTTGCACGGTAACAAATGATTTTTTTTTTTTTGTACTTAAGATTTATACTTTAAAGTAGAGATTATAATCTCTTGACTGGCAAGTCAGATTTCACCCCCAGACATATTTTGTTTAACCTAAATTTTTTTTTAATCTGTTGCCAAACTATTTTCACACAAAAATGTGATTTCCATCTATTCTTGAAAAATTGAAAACCTGATAACATTAGGCCTACTGTCCTGTAAAGCAGCAGTTGATTGGACTAAGCAGCCCACCTCTTTTAGAAATGCATAAACTCTTTAGTTTGTCATAGTCCTGACCATAACCAAACTCCTTACTTTATTCACTTGCCTGACCTCAGTTAAGGATTTGGGTTTGGAATGTCAGCGTTAAGGTATATCTCAAAGATCACTTCTGTGTAAATTTTCCTACCATTCTCACTTGTGGAATCAATTATACTTTCTGTGTTTTCATAGCACATGCATTCGTATGTACCTCAATTATAGCCCTATATAATTTTGTTATAATAATTTATAATTGTGAGCTGTTCAAGGTCAGGAGCAATGTCATACTTTATTTATTTAATTGAGTAATTGACATACATTATCACAGTAGTTTCAGGTGTGCATTATAGTGATTTGATATTTATATATGTTACAAAACAATCCCCATGATAAGTCTAGTTACTATCTGTCACCATACAAAGTTTTTATATTATTGATTATATTCCCTATACTGTACATTACATCCCTATGACTTATTTATTTTATAACTGGAAGTTTGTTTCTTAATCCCCTTCACTTATTTCTCTTGCCCCCTAGCCCTTCCCTTCTCTAGTAACCACCAGTTTCTTGTATATATGAGTCTATTTCTTTGTTTTATTTGTTCGTTTGTTTTTTAGAGTCCACATGTAAGTGGAATAATACGGTATTTGTCTTTCTCTGGCTCGTAGTAGAAATTCAATAAAAATTTGTTGAATGAAGATGTGAAACTCTATATACCTTACCATCACTTAAAAGCTTGGGCCCTTGATTGTTTGGAAGAAATGTTTATTTAAATATGTATTCAGTAGTTATACAATTAAACATTTCTTCAAGAAATACTTTTGAGTGTCTTCTGTTTGCTTCTCTTAGTCTCTTGGACCCACTACCAACCTGATACTGTTTTAGGGGCCTTGGATTATAAATTTGAACATAATTTATGAAGGCTTTAGACACATTCTTATGGGAGGAAGTATTCTGGAGGGCTACAGTCATTTGTATGTGGGTCTGCAATAGTTTATTGGTTTGTGTGGACATTCATTTTCAGCTTTAGATTGTGAAATCTTAGAGGCTTTGTTTGAACTGTGAAAACTCGTTCTAAATAAACTTGGTACTGAATTATATATGCAGGGATGCTAAATAAATACTTTGGGATTATTTTGTTCATAGCATCGTTTCCTTAAAGAGCAGTGAGGTTCAACTCATGAAATTTGAAACCAAACATAAAGAGGAAATCATTATTTTAATTATTCCATCCTTTTTAAAAATTATTCCATTCTTTTAATTATGCCATTCTTAAAGATTATGGTTTGGGGATGAAGTGGTCTGTAAAGGAAATTTACAGTAAGGAAAAAAATTGAAAAATATTCTATTTCTGACTTCTTAAAGTTTTTTAAAGGGAAAAATTAATAAATACATGTGGTACAAAATTAAAATAGCATAACAATGGAAAATTTTTTCTTACCCAGGACTAGAGGAGTACTGCATATTTTTTCAGAAATTTTCTAAGCATTAAAGAGTACACATATGCATACATGCACAAACATCCCTTTTCTCCCACCATATGGGAGCATTCTGCACCTTCTAATTTTCACTTAACCAAATTAATTCTAGGATACTCAACTTTTTATACTTTAACATTACTGAAATTGAAATGTGTCTTATGAGTGATAGTATCTTACAATTGTTGTAGTTCTAGATTGACATCCATTTCTTCTGGAAAGGATATGTACTTCTGTCAATCATGTGGACTTACTACTAACCCGATACTACTTTAAATACTCTGCTCGAGAGTTTTTGGACCACACTAATGATATGAGTCAGAATACAAATCCACATAAACTGGCTTGTGGTTTAAGTTTTCAGGGAATTTTTTTCTGCTTTTTATTTATTTTCAGGGTTGTGATATGCAAGTTTCTTTGCCATATCTTTCTTTGTTGTGAGTTCATTGGTCTTTACCTATTTCCAGCTTTATATAGGCGTCTCCTCTTAGATTCCCATCTTGGGCATTTCCTTCTTTGGTAGTAATAATTTAGAGATACATCTTACATCTGATAGCATCATAGATTTGATGGAATAAGTATGTTTTTTTTGTTTTGGCACACTGAGATTTTGTCACTTTTCACAGCAGTATCGTATTCCATTGAAATTACATACTATGGTTTTTATGTTGTCCCTATTTTTTGCTACCACAAACAAGGTAGGAGTGAAGATCCTTGTATATAAGGCCTTGCAAACACATGGAAGAATACTTACTTCACTGATTTAGCTGTATTCTAGGCATTAAGAGAATGGCAGCAAGACAGTCCCTGTCCTCATGAAGCTTACATTCTAGTTTTCTTCCAGCTTTATTGATATATAATTGACATATAACATCAATTTTGAGGCAGACAAAGCGATTATTTGATATATGTATGTATTATAAAGTGAGTACCAAAATCAGGTTAGTTACTACATCTGTCACTTCACATAAATACCATGTATGTGTGAGTGTGTGCATGCTCATGTGTGGTGAGAACATTAAGATTTACAGTCTTAACAACTTTTAAGTATGCAATACAGTATTGTTAACTGTAGTCACCATGCTTTAGATACCCAGAAGTTAATCTCATAACTGAAATTTATACCCTTTGACCAACATCTGCCCATTTCTTCCATCCCCCAGCCCCTGGCAATCACCAAATTACTCTATTTCTATGAGTTCACCTTTTTCAGATTCTACATATAAGTGAGATCATCCAGTATTTTTTTTTCTGACTTATTTTGCTTAACATAATGCCCTCAAGGTTCATCCATGTTGTCCCAAATAGCAAGATTCCCTTCTCTTTTATGGCTAAATAATACTCCATTGTGTATTTTCTTTTTCTTTATCCATTTGTCTGTGGATGGACACTTAGGTTGTTTCCATGTCTTGGGTATTATGAATAATGCTTCAATGTACATGGGGGTGCAGATATCTCTTTGAGATAGTTATTTCAAAAATGAAGTTTACACTCTATCTGGGGGGAGGATATTATCAGGTAATAATATAATTTCAGATAGCTTTGAATATGCAGAAAACCAAGAAAGGGGTCAATGAGAAATGTGTGGTAGGCGATAGTGGTGAAACTATTTTATATAAGGTGATTAAGTAAAATTTGAGAAGAGACCTGAATGAAGCAAAGGAGTAAGTCAATAATTACCTGGGGGATAATTATTTTAGGTGGAAGAAACAGCCCTATATCATTTAGGAAATAGTCCTATATCATTTAAGAAATTAAATCAGTGCTTAAAAATATTCCCAGAAAATTCTAGGTCTGTAAGTCTTTGTTAGCTAGTTCTTCATCCAAAGATAAATAAATTTCATTTTTATACAAATTCTTCCAGAGCATGAAAAAATAAGGAACACTACTAATTCATTTTGGGTTACCTAGATAACCTGAGAATAGTATGAGAAAGGAATATTAAAGGTCATTCATGAACATAAATACAAAATTTCTAAACGAAATGTTAGCTGGGTCAATCTGGAATTACAGCAGGTCCTCAAATAACATCATTTCATTGTAATTTGGATGAGATGCTGTAGGAATTTAACTCTCGCTTATGTTAATTAGCCTATAGTAAAATTGGTTTTGTTGTACGTTATTTTGCTTAAAGTTTCAAAACATTAATGATGTTAAGTCAGAACTTACTGGATATAGAGTGATAAGTCATAACCCAATTCAGTTCATCCCAAGAAGGCAGATTGGTTTAATATAAGAAATAAAATGTATACAATTAAATTGAGTTAGAAATTCAGTTATTGTAACTTACCATTCAATAGGGTAAAGGGCACTTTCTTAGCCTGATAAAGGTATCTCTCTCTCTCTCTCTCTCTCTCTCTCCCCCGCCCCCTCTCTCTCTCTATCATCTGTCTGTCTGACTGTCTGTCTGTCTATCTATCTATCTATCTATCTATCTATCTATCTATCTAGATAAAAACCCCACTGCCAGAGAAGCAAAAGTACTGAAATTAAATATTGATTTAACAATGATTATGGCAGTGTGAATTAGAAAAATTACTTTGGAAAGTTCAAGTTCAATAATATTGAAAATTTTTATACCCACCAGTTTTACTCCAAGGTATACACTATGAAGAAACTCTTTCGAATGGACACCAGGATACATATACTAAAGGTTTATAGTAGCATTCTTCATGATAATAACAAACTAAAAGCCATTCAATGTCTATCAGTAGAATGGATAAATAAATTAATGAGTTACTATTCAACAGTGAAAATATACAGTGAAAATAAACATGGATGAATCTTACAAACCATAATGTGTATCTAAGAAAATAAATCACACAAAAGGACAAATATTGTATTATTCTGCTTATATAAAGTACCTAGAGTACTCAAACTCAAAGAGATAAAGTAGAATGCTGGTTGAAATGGGGAGAGGTTGCAAGAGAAAGGGAGTTAATGTTTAATAGATACAGAGTTTCAGTTTGGGAAGATGAAAAAGTTTTGGAGATGGGTGGTGGTGGTGGTTGTACAACAGCATGAATGTATTTGATGCCACTGACCTGCCTACTTAAAAATGGTTAAAATGGTAAATTTTGTTATATATACTTTACTATAATAAGAAAAGAAGTAAATTACAATCATATACATAAAGTATAATTGCATTTATGTAAAGTTCAAAAATAAGCAAACTATTGTTTAGGAATACATATATACATAACAAAATTTTAAAGAAAAACAAGAAAATCACAAACAACGTTGATTATCTCTAGAGGTATTATTATTTTTTTTTTGGTAAATCAATGTAATTTTAGTATATGATATGGAAAGAATTAAAAAAACTACATGATATAGCTGTTATGGACCTATCCCTGTTGGCTTTTTAATATAAACCAGATTTCTCATTTCTTATATTTGTAAAAATTAAAAATTAAAATAGAATTTGTCTGAATCTTTGCTTCATTCAGCTATTGCTAACATTTATCCATGTGCCATGAGCTAACCAGGAAAAAGAAAAGCCCAACCACTTCATCAAGAGGTGTATATCCAGTAAAATTTTACTTCTTATGTTATTATTTATCAGAATTTGTAATACAGTATGTTGCTCTGTTTAATTGTATACTGAAAATAGTTATAAAATTAACTCTATCCAGAGCAAGTTTTTTATTACTTAGAAACTCAGAGACAAGGCAATAAAATTAAAAATTTTTCATATGTATTTTTATAACAGATAAATGTGATAGGATCAACAAAAGTTTTTCAAGTATATTACATTAAGATAAAATTCTGTGAGGGAAATGGAATGGAAATAGGAGTTCAAGGAGAAAAAGGATTAAAATTTTTATTAAAGAAAAGCTTATTTATATTTTTTAATTGATGATATTAGTCATTAAATCACCATAGTATGTAGATTTCATTGGATGTATTTTAAATAGTGATCGATATATTTAAGAGTGATGTGAAAGTTTTGATATATCATATACTTGAAAATATAATATTTGCAGCTATTTAAGCTTGTGATGAAAATTTTTCAATGCCAACTTAAAAATGTGTAAAAGGGTACATAATTTTTCAAAATTCTTTTAGGGAATATATGAACAAATAATTTTAAAGGTTACCGATCAACTATAGCTGAGGAGAAGCCAGAAATGAAGTCTGAGAAGGAGGGACCTATGAGAGAAGCAATAATATCAGACAGTACTAACCTAAAGGCCTAATGAAGAAAATATATCAATATATCAAATATATCAAGAAAACTTTGTTGAATGCTGATGACAGATGAGTAAAATGAAGGATGAAAATTGACCACTGCCATGGGAAAATGTTCATCTTGACTAGAGAGGTTTTAATTGGAACAGTAGAAATGAAAGCCTTAGTGTGCCATGCAGAAAATGGAGAAGTGAAAGCAGTGGCAACTCTTTTTAGGTGGTCTGATAAAAGAGGTAACAGAATTGGAGCAAATGATGGAGAGGGATGTGAAATCTAGGGAGGGAGAAATTTATGAATAACTAAAGATGTTAGTCACAGGAGACAATAAGGGGTAAGAGCCAATGTCAAAGTGGCACGTTCGTCCATAAATAGCAGAAGGTACATACAGTTCATCCACCGTGATGGGAAGGAAGGCAGACAAGGTATAGGTAGGCTCGAAGATTTGGTGTGCAGAGGAGATTGTTTTCTTCTAAAAGTTTCTAGTAATATAAGAGGTAAGATCAACAGCTGAGAGTAGTAAAAAGGAGAGGATTTTGGAGGTTTGAAAAATGAGGACAATGACATAGTAGTAAGAAGAGTGGACGGTGTTTAGAGCCTATTTAAAATTTGTGCTCATAAATTTAAGCTCATGTATTTTCTCTGGCAAGGTTCAGCTGCTCATACTGCTAGCAAAAACTAAGTGGAAAGTTGATTTAACTAGGACTTGGAATTTGCCACCTGAGCTCCTTGAAAGGAGAAGAAAACAGGGGAGGTAGAGATATATGTTAGTGGTTATGGTGATGAACTGTGAAATCTAACCTGGGTAAGAAAGAAGTGAAGGTATGGGAAAGGCTGATAAACAGTAAAAAAGTGATAAGGCTAATGGATTGGAGATTCCAATGGACCATCCTGCAGAAGGTGAGCCCAAAAGTGAAGATGGTTATCCAAGACTTTGTATCCCAAGGGTTAATCACTCTTGATTCCTAAATTTAGATGATACTCTTCTTTTTCTACATCTTCCCATAAATAAAATAGAGGAGAGGTGGTTATCACCAAGAGAGTTCTCAAATCTGTCTCTGCTGCCCTGATCTCTTTACTAATCCTCCAATTTTAATGCCTGTGAGCATTACCTGAATGCTACACCAGTACTTCATACTAATTATATTTAAATGCCTTTAAACAAATTCTCTTACAAATTTACTCGTTCTGGACTACCATTTTTCCTTTTGATTCTTCTCTGACTCCTTCGTCTTCTTGCCCCCAGTTTAATCATTATCAAGTAAGTTAGCTTATAAAATATTTATTGGATCCATTCTCCTATCTGCATTTACATTGTCATTACTTTAGTTTGATTATTGTTAATAGTAACCAAAATGGTATTCTCTTTATAATAATTTTTTCCCTAATACCAGGTTAGTCTTCAAAATTATATTCTTTTTTTTATATGGGTAAATATATAATTATTTACAATATATAGTACATGAAAACATAAGAATTATATCCAGATATTTGTTCTCATTCTCAAATAATGTTGTCTCTCCTAAGATATTCAATATATGTGAAATGTGTAACATGAAATTTACACTTTGAAATTTTAGTTTTTCAAGAAACCAAGAGTTCACCATTCTGTCTGTTTTTCAAGTTCCTTTCTGATGACAATCCCAAGGTCTATCATTTAGTAACACACTGGGTAGAAAAGAGCCCTTGCTGGGAAGGATCTGGGATGGACAGGACTCTGCTGCTGCTCCCAGAGCTACATCTGTCAAAATTATATTCTTATTGGCCATATCCCTTCTCAAAAACTTTTAAGGGGTTTCAATTTCTTATAGAATAATGTCCAAACTCTGGAGCATAGGCTCCAGTCATCTTTTCCTTCTTCATTTCCATCATCACCTCTTCTTAGAGTCTCCCCAGGGCCCATTGAACTGGTTGGCATGTCCAGTGCTCTCCAAACTCCGTGTCTTATTCCTGCTTTTCTCTCTTCTTGGGATATCTTCCCCTCATATCTGAATGTTAAAATCTCTTGGGCACAAATTTAAATACTACCTGCTCTATAAAATTTTACTTGATTCCAGCTGTTGAAAATAATCTCCCCTTCCACCAAACTTGCAAAATAACTCTCTATATCTGTTAGTCATAAAAATGTCTTTAATTTTTATAGACATTGCAGTATTAAGCTGTTTTTACATATCTTTTCTTTTAATCCTTACAACAATGAAACAAGGTTGTGATTAGCACCATTTTAAAGATGTGAAAACTGGGAATGAGAGAGTTACCTAAATTGTGTATACTTGCCTTTGAATAGTTTATATGCTTATTTTTCTTATTTGTTTCCACTTTGTTCTCAGTATATTGAGTCAAGGCTTTGCACATAGTAGGCAGTCTCATTCGAATGAGTGAAAGACTGGATTCATGGAAGCAAAAGTGTTTTTCAAAACTCCTGTTTGAGGGCTATGTGTTTTTAAGTTTTTTGGGTACATGTGAATAGCCTTTTTTTATGTTGTGGCCTTTGTTAAGCCTGGCAGTAAGAAAAAGAAAATCACCAAAGCTGAACGATTGAAGCTGCTACAAGAGGAGGAGGAGAGACGGCAAAAAGAGGAAGGTACAAAATACACAGTGATACTATTTTCACATATAGGTAATACTAACAATGGGTTCGTATTTCTATTATATTTTTAAAAGAATTTCCAAATTATTTAATTTTTCTAATTTAATCTGTCTTATAATAAATATCTACTGTTTTAAGGGTACCCAGAAACTTGTTAATATACACCAATCACTTTCAGATATATCTTGAAGTAGAGTTTCCAGATAAAATACAGGATGCCCAGTTAAATTTGAATTTCAGATAAACAATGGATAATTTAGGAATAATTTGCCCCAGGCAATATTTGGGACATACTTAAGCCAAAAAAAGAGAAGTTTATTGTTTATCTGAAATTAAAATTCAATTGAGTGTCCTTTATTTTTAATTGTTAATTCTGACAAACCTACTTGAAGTGTTTATGTTTATTGATGAAATCAGGGGCATTGGTGCTGATTGTGCAGTAAGAATTCTGAAACTCAAATTCATCAAATAAGGGAAATATGTACTAGTAAGAAATACACACAGTTGCCTACATTGTTATAGTTTAATAACGTTTATTTGCCAAATTTAAAGAGGACCTTGATTTGTTTAAAAAAGTTAATTAAAATTAATAAAAAGATCAGTTACTTAAAACCAAAAAATGATTTTAAAAATACAAATATTTCAAGCGGTTGTAGCTTTTAGCATTAGGAACATCTGCAGATTAAGATTCAGGTTTTAAAAGTCTATCTTCAGTTTCCATGCTGATTTTTATGTATAATCATATAAATCTTTTTTAAGTGACTCATGATAATAGAACACCAGGATCTAGATTTCGGGGAATATTTTATTATATTGGGATAAACATATTTTTCAGCATATGTATCATATTTTTTTAATAATAAAAGCAAAAGAAGACTAAGGTAATTGCTTTGATGATGCAGATATCACAATATTATAAAAATCTTCTGAAATTTTTACCTCTCCTTAATTATCCATGATAGATCTGTCATTTTTTATTGGCTAAAATTATTATTGGATTGTTTTAACTTTCTAGAGGAGACATACCATTATGGACCTATTTTTTGGTCAGAAAGTTTGAGAGTCATGTTACTTTATTGAAAGAAATCTAGCACTTGTATTTTTCTACCACATAATAAAGGTCGTGACTTCTATAAAATATACCACCACCACTACGTCTTGCAGAGATTTGAAGTAACTTTAAGGGCTTAAAAATTGATTTAATCGCTGAGAAAAAAAAATTTTTTTTTTCCTTTTGGGTTCTTTAGAGGAAGCTCGTGTGAAATATGAAAAAGAAGAAATGGAAAGACTTGAAATGGAACGAATTGAGAAAGAAAAATGGCAACAACTTGAAGCAAAAGTAAATAAATGTTAATGATGTTATTAATGAAGACCGAAATTACATGGCTATTTGGCTGTTTAATGTCATTCTTCCCCCAAAGCTACTAGTAATATTTAGTCCTTTACGAACTGGTTTAACTCATTTCATCCTACCATAGAATTGTGACATTATTACCCACATTTCACAGATAAGGAAACTGAGGAACAGAGAAATCAAGCTAGGTCATAACCAGGGCCTAGATGTAAGTAGTCTTGCACCTGAGCCTTTGCTTGTAACTATTAAGTTATTCTCAGTCTGTTTTATAGATAATTAAACAAGGATAAAAAAAAAAAAAAGGAATTCAAATTCTCTCTCTCCTTTTTTAGTTTCACTTCTCTTCTTCACCAGAATTTTTCAAATCAGTAGTTCTGAAATATTTCGATCTCAAGAAAAAAACTCTCATTACTGTTAAAAATAGAAGACCCCTAAGGAGCTTTTGTTTATGTGGGTTATATCTATCAATATTTACTATAGTAAAAATGAAAACAAATTTTTACAAGTCATTATATTAATAGACATTAAACATTGTTCAAAATAAGCATTAATAAAAATAAGTAAATACACATTTACATTTTTTAAGAAACAATTATATGTAATATATATTACTGAGTTATAACTGATATATAATGTTATATTAGTGTCATGTGTACAACATAATGACTCAATATTTGTATATATTGTGAAATGATAACCACAATAAGTCTAATTGACATCCATCACCACATATTATATATTGTTTTAAATTAGGGAAATACGTGGCATTGTTTATATTTTTGAAATCTCATTAATGTCTGACTTAAAAGAAGACAACTGGATTCTCATATCTACTTCAGTATTCCATCTGTTAAAATGTGTTGTTTTGATTGGAGTATATATGAGGGAATTCTGGCCTCACACAGATGTGTAGTTGGAAAAGATGGAATATTTTAATTGCCATTCAGATTATTGTGGATATTCTTTGATACTATATTTAAACTCAATAAGTGGTAGTTTCTTAATGTAAAATCTGAAACCATATTAATAGACTTTTCATACACTGAAACGTTAATCTGTCTTACACTTAGATCTTGTATCCATGCATGATTTTGCAGCATCATGTATTGGTTGCTTGGAAAAATTTGGTTCACTGAATTATTTGTTTCTAAATGTCGATCCATTTTTATTGTTCATTATCAAAAAAAATCACAAGCATTAATATCATCGCCAGTCAAATCAGAAAAATTTTTAAGAATTGGAAAACTGTCAAGCTCATAATGGTAGATAAAGGTTTTCCAAACTTTGGAATTTTATTTGAAAGCTTGAATTTTATCATTGGCAACAAACACTTTAAATTGTTTCCTGGAGGTGACATGCTCAATTCATTCATTTTTGAAAGAGAATGTCTGCCAAAATATTCAAATAATTGTACAAGTGTTTATTTCTCAAAAACAATATTGTTCTTTGATATACAGCAAATGTGCTTTTATGCATACTTCCCATTTTATCACACAGAATATTAAAAATACATATACTTAAAGGTGATATTTAATAAAATTAATAATTTTTACTTCTTCATCAGGTCATTCTTATGTGAAACTGGCTGCTCACCACCCCTTGCCCCTGAAGAATAGGACCACTAGTACAGTCTGCGCCTTGATTTACACCAGCAGTTTTACACCATCTTGCACCAAAAGTGCAAATGTGTACACTGCAAAAAAGGCAAATAATGTCTTAGTATTATTATGAAAATTGATTTGACCTCACAGATCCCAAAACAGTCTTGGGGATCTACCAGTAGTCTGCAGATCACACTTTGCAAAACACTGTTTCAGATGAAACCTTTTAGAAATAGCAGTTACATTCAAATTAATTTTAGTATTCATTCTGAAACTAAATACTTTGCCAAGTAAATTTTTAATGCTACTTGTAAAAATTAAAGCTGAAATTATAGAATAAATCAATGTATCCCCATACAACAGGATCTGGAAAGGCGAAAAGAAGAACTTGAAGAACTTTATTATTTAGAAGGGTGTTTTCCTGAAGCAGAGAAATTGAAACAAGAAAATAGATTGCTTTCTCAGGTAAGGCTGATTTTTTTGTTTTGTTTTTGAGCTAAAACTTTTGTACCACAAGAGGGAGTTATCCTCTGATACCCTTTTTAGTCTCAAAAAACTTTAAATTTGTCTATAAAAAATCTCCAATCTGACAAATTATTTATAGCAAAGTAAATTCATATAGCTCTGTAGAAAACTATTTGTCAATAATAAGATCCTGGAAAGTTTTATATGCTTTGACTCTGATTGAATTTCTAGAATCTATACTGAGGAAATTATCTTAAATATAAAAACTGTGTTGCTCAAAACAGCTTAACTTTAAAAATTATGTAGGTAGATTATCTGAAGAAAAAGAAAAAACTGAATAACATATCAAAAGATGATTATTGTATAATTTTAAGCAAAAATTTATAAGTACAATGTAGAATTTGTGTAGACTACATAATGAATGGAAAGGCTCATACTAAAATGCCAGTGTCAATTGACAAATAGCAATAACTTGAGAAATAGAAGTTAGCCCAAGTGTTGGTTTTTGTAAATATAGAAATTGTATGATTAAGAGAGAAAAGCAAAACAAAACCAACTCATAAATACTATTTTAAAAATTAAAGACTGACAATAAATAGAATTAGTATTTATTTGAATTATTGAGGTTTACAAATTATTTTGACAGAGAAATTTGGTTATTTTAGAGATACTCAAGTAACTTAGTTAGAGTCATAATATGTTTTTTGCTTAAACTGGGAAAATGAGGTTATGAGAATTCATACTTAAAAAAGAAGAATTTTTATTTTTGGTTGCATTTTCATCAGTGTGAACCTTTGGTCATATTTATTCCACAGTGGAAACACTACATTCAATGTGATGGGAGTCCTGATCCTTCAGTAGCCCAAGAAATTAATACTTTCATTAGCTTGTGGAAAGAGGAAACAAATGAGACTTTTGAGGAAGTAATTGCAAAGAGTAAACTAGTTCTATATGTAAGTACTTTAGTATTATTCCATAATTTTAAATTATTTAAATTACAAATTTATTCCAAAAATAGAAATTAAATAAATATATTTGCCAATTAATAACAGTATTGCTTCCTTAGCTATGAAGAAAAATATTTGCTAATCTTCTTTTTTTTCAACTCCTAAAAACCTCTTGACATCTTACGTAAGGTCAACATAACATAAATGAAACTTTAACTATACGTATGTCTAATTCAATCCAAAAAAAGTTAAGCTGCATCCATTTATGTAGGTAACCTGGGGGAAAGTGAATAATTTTATCCTCAGCTGGCATTATTCACTATTCAGTGATTCAGTACACATGTTTTTTAATTGTTAACTTGTGCCAGCCACTTACTCTTTTAGGCACTGGAACTACATAGATGAATAAGAATATCTTACATTCTATTTCTGCAAAAAGGATGGATAGGCTAGCCTGAGGAGCTACCACTTTACAATGCACTTAAAAATGCTTAAAAAAAATTTTAATGACATTTAAGTCCATTGCCTAGTTCAAAAGAAAGTAAGGGAAAATCTTGGAGGTCATAAAACAATCTAGAAAAGTGGGCAAGTGTAGAAGTCAGTGGCTTCTCAAAAATTATCTGTTAACCCCTGGCGGCTTAGCATTTGTTTAAAGGGCCATCAAGAGGCAAAGCCTAGGGTACATGCAAGGTGACAATTGGGTCAGAGACCTGTATATGGCTTGGAGCTGCTAAAAGGTATTGTAGATAATAGGGAAAAAACTTACTCTGCAAAGGGAGATATAAGAACTTGTTTGGTTCATCTTTAGCTTAATGAAAACAAAAATGTCTCTACTGAGAATTCTTAATCACAGTGAGTCAGAAATTAGATTGAAAAATTTACCAGAATACAGCACAGAGAGATAAAGAGATGGAAAATATGAAAGAACAGTATGTATGTATATATATGTATATGTATATACACATATATAATGAAGCAAGAAGGACTAAAATTTTATTAAAGGAGTGCCAGAGGAGATATAGAAGAATGAGGAAAAGACAATATTCAAAGAGGTAATGGCTGACGATTTTTCAAAATTGAGGAAAGATACAAACATTCAGATTCAAGAAATACAACAAATCCTAAGTTAGGATAAATAGGAAAAAATCCACACTTTGGCACACCTACATAATATTAGAAATGAAAGGAATTCACTCCTCTTGGTCCTATTATCCTTTTGCTTTTCATTCTAACCCCTCACCATATTTTTGTGCTTTTTATCACTGTGGCTTATTTCTCCGTGTCGCTATACGATGTCCTAACTCCAGACTCTGTTAAGAACATGAATTGCCTAATTTAATCTGGACAACAAGCTTATGAGGTTCATTTTACATATGAAGAAATATAGCTTGCAACTTGCTTACAGTCCCCTGTGAGACCTTAGATGGGCCTTACTCTGTTTTTTCAAGGCTCCAAAGAGACTCCTGTACACTGTGAGGTATTTGGACACCAGTGGATTTGTCATACAGTGTTCTTGCCACTGCACATCCTCTCTACTAGGGAGACTGCCATGGCATGATGCTGGGCCAGGAATCTGGTACTGCGATTAACAGGGAGGCAGCAGGAAGTAGCACTAGAGTTCACCAGTGATGAATTGTTATGAATGTAGGATACAGAATTACAAGTAATGAATAGTAGGGAAGATGAGACAAGGAAAAGTAAAACAAAACAGGAGACAGAAGAGAAGAATCAGCAATCAGAAACTGAAGCAGGAAGCCACAAGAGGAACAGAAAGAATTAGCAGTGATCCTATGGTAAAAATCAGGTTCCAAATGATCAAATTCATTTGATAAAATCTTAGATTATGCTTACTATGCCAAGCTTTAGAAATAGTAACTTGCTAACTTTTCATAATAACCCTATTAAATAGGCATCATTAGTCCCATTTTACAAATGGAGAAATCGAGGCACAGAGATGTTACATAACTTGTCCAGGATCACACTGCTAGTAAGAGGTGGCTAGGATTGAAGTGCAGCGTCTGGCTTGAGTCCACACTACTCTGCACTACTATGCTGCCTCTCCTAATGTAGAAATTTTCTATATATTATCTGTGTCTGTGTTCAAAACTAAATTCTGCCACTTATTAGTTGTTCCTTGATCATGCTATGCCTCATTTTCTCCCAACACTTTAAATCTCTCTCCACTCTCTTCTTGCTTCAATGGTTTCTAAGCAGTTTGATGTAATTCTTAACTTTGTTCCTCTAAATGTAAGGTGTTTTTTCCCTCTGCCTTCTGTCAGGATTTTTTTCTTTATCTTTGATTTTCCGTATTTTGAAAATGATAAGCCTAAGTGTAGTTTTAGAAGGACATTTGTTCTGCTTAGTAGTCTCTGAGCTTGGTGGATCTATCTGACATTAATTTGGGAGAAATTCTTAGTCATTATTATTTCAAATTCTTAGTCATTATTATTTCAAATATTTCTTCTGTTCCTTTCTCTCTTTTTTCTCCTTCTAATATTCTTATTTTGTGGGAACTACCTTTTGTCATTGTCCCACAGTCCTTTTTTAATTCAGTCCCTGTTCTCTTTGCTTATTGTTTTTCCAAGATTCTATTGATACATACTCTAGCCCAGAGATTCTTACCTCAGCTGAGTCTGGTCTACTAATAAGCCCATCAAAGGCATTCTTCATTTCTGTTGCAGTGTTTTTTTTTTTTTTTTTTTTTTTTTAGTTCTTTCTTAGGATTTCCATCTCTCTACGTTGCCCATCTGGTCTTGCATGCTGTCTACTTTATCCATGGAGCCCTTAGCATATTAATCACAGTTGTTTTAAATTCCCAATCTGATAATTTCAACTTTGGTGCCATGTCTGGTTTCTGATGCTTGCTCTGTCACTTCAAATTGTGTTTTTTGCCTATTGGTATGCCTTTTAATTTTTTCTTGATAAGTGGATATGATGTACTGAATAAAAGGAACTACTTACTGTAAATAGGGCTTTAGTAATGTGGTGGTGAGGGAGGGAAGGAGAAGAGTTCTATAGTCCTGTGTTTATGTGTCAGTCTTTTAGTAAGCCTGTGCCCCTGAAATGTGAACTTCACAAGTGTTTTTAATTTTTCTTATCCCCTTTTATGTGGGAGGGGATGGCTAGAGACAGCTGGAATTGGGTATTTCCTTTCCCCCACATGAGTTAGGCTCTGACAAAACAGGTGAGACTCTGGTTAATTAGTTTCCAGAGATTAGGCCTTTTTAAGAGCTTTGGCGTATTTCAAAATGGTTCCTTTTCCCGTTCCACTGCTGGAAGCGTGAGGAGATTTTTCTCCCATATTTATTGTGGCAACCTGGTCGAGCTACTGGAGGTAAAACTCCCATGACTGTTCTCCTGGAGTTTATAACTCTCAGAGTTGTCCACACTGGGCCTCCAGCAATTCATCATTTACAGTTTAGGTTTTCCTACCAGATTCTGAGATCTTCCTTGATTTTCCTTCCAGATCCTGGATCTCTGCTCTGAGAAGCAGTGACTCCCTGTATTCACCTGTAGGTCTCTACAATCTTGGGGGCCTTGCTTATGGGTCAAAGAAGAGTTGTTGATTTTTAATCTGTTCTACTTTTCATTGATAGGACAACAGAGTAGCGTCTTCCAAGCTCCTTGCAGTTGGAACCAACACTCCTATTTCCTCATCTATAAAATAGGCAAAATAACAGTATCTACCTCACAGAGTTAAGATGAGGATTGAAGGAATTAAAACATATAGAGCATTTAGAACAGTTCCTGGCACATAGTAGGCATTCAGTAAATATTAGTAATTTTCCTCTTCTCCTCATTGTTACCATATTGTTATTTCTATTCCACAGTTTTAGGTAATGATAAGCTGTGCCTTATCTATTGACTTGTTAATGAAAGCTCTGTTACACATGGTTGAGAATTCTTATAATGGAATTTTTGGAGGAAATATTTTATTTTTCTATGCTCTTAAATAATATAAAAATTCCTCCCTATATTTATTCCATGTTTCATTGACAATAAGATTTTTTCCTCAATTGAAAAGTGTTAAGAGTATCTTCCTTTTCACTTTTCTTTGACTGTCAGATTTAATTTACTTAGTAACTTTTTACTTCATATTTTTACTTTATACTTTTGCTTTATAGTTAATTGAGAAATTGAAATTAATTTTATTGGAAACTCCACCATATGATTTGCAAGATAAAAATATAACCCAGTACCAAGGATCAATCCTGGAACTGCAGGAGCTCCTTCACCTTAAGTTTAACATAGCCACAGAAATATTACTCAGAGTAAGTGTGATATTTTGCTTATATGTTATTATTAACTTTTAAAACAGTAAAAATTTTATGCTATATAATAAAAAAAAAACTGTTTTTTTTTCAAAAATTAAAAGGTTATAAAAAAGTCAGTGGAATAATTTAGCACATATAATTACCCATATTTAACAACTGTAAATATTTTACTTTTAAAGAAATAAAACAATATAGCTAAAGTCTAGTTTTTAAATTATACTTGCTAAGGTTTACTAGGATCACTATGAAAATAAACTCGCAAATCATTATACATTAGATATTTACTCTAGATAAATCAGTTGATATAAAGTTAAAATTGTTGGTAGTCATGATTTTCCCCAAATATCTTAGCACTAATGATGATATCCATAATATATTCTACTATCCAGTCTATATTTAAAATTTCCCTAATATACCATGAATATCTTCTATAGTTTTTTTTTTTTTTAATCAGAGAACAATCTAAGATCATACATTGCTTTTGGCTCTTTGTCTCTTGGTTTCTTTTATTCTAGAACACAGTCTTAGTCTTGGTACAGTCTTGGCAGAATGTGTTTTCATTACAAAAAATTTCAAAAAAGGCTTAAATTTCACTAAATTTATTTTTAGCGGTCATAGTCATATTTTTACAATTATTTATATTGTAAGAAAAAGCATGTATTATAATTATTAATCAAGATTTTTATTTTAAGAGAAAAAAATACAGTATATAAAAGATAAGATTAGAAAAAAATGTTATATTTGAACTGGAAAATCAGTATTAATCATATTTTTATTGCATAAAAAGGAGCCAGGTCTAATTGGGGTAAATGGCTAGTTTCAGGTCTAGGGCAGGGAAAGTGAAAGATGAGGTGGAAAGATGAGGTTATCTTGTGCTAGAAAGCAAATAAATGCTCAAAGTCTAATGGAATCATATCCAAAGGGACAGGACTAGCTTAAAGAGTCTCCCAATAGTCAAATTTGGGACAATATGTTTATCAGAAAGAATAATGACTATAATTGATTAAAACATTGAATAAATAAAAATCCGTGAATCTCTAGCGATACCCCAAAATGAAGGAGGAAAGTGGAGTGGTGGATGGGGGAGAAGAGTTCTTTACAGAAGAATGCTGTCTGATAAATGTAGAAGGGAATGGCCAGTTAGAAGAATCACCATTTTTCAATTCCTAATGTAATAATTGATAAGGATCACCTAAATAAATAGATGAAAAGTTGAGTTGTTGAGGAGCACATTATTTTCATAGTGCCACAGTTTTAGACCACAGATTATTTACTAATTGGAAAAAAATGTACTTTGCAATAGGGAGAGGTGGGAAGTCATCTCCCTATTTAATCAAGTTATCAAATCCATATAGTTAATAGTGGGACATAATATACCTCTTGATAAGATATAATATAAAGAACACAAAATCTATAATGCCTTCTTGCTAAAAATGATTTATCTGAATCTAATTAAACCTACTTAGACCTAACTTCTAGTGTACAATAAAATAAGGGGACAGATGAGTAAATTAAATACCATGAGGAAATAATCAGATAAATTCACAATGTAGAACAATTCTACAAGGCAACTATCTTGGACACTTCAAAAAGTTTATTTCACAGAAAAAAAAAAAAGCAAGGGATCACTTTAAAAAAAAATAGCAATAAATTCAATCCCCATTACTTTTATGTTTTTACATTATAGTAGCCAAATACGTATTAACTTATTTAAGCCCTTTAAAAGAGCTAATTTCTTGAGCAGTAGGCATCAAACTATGTTAGTCTTAATTTAAAAATTCTGAAAAACATCTTTATATGTTTGATGTTGATTATCAAGTATTGGACTAGTAAAACACATGACTCATCTGGATGTCATAAACTGTATATTTTGTTTTCTAACTTTGATATGTTCAGAAATAGGCTAACTTGCAGTAACATCTACATTTTTAATCAGATACATATAAAGAAGCATGTGTATAGTTAAAATAAAAAGTCATGATAATGTTAAAATTAAAAAGGGTAACGTGGTAATCTATAAGTGCTACCTGGTCATATAGGAGCAACTTTAATCCTTAGACACCATAAGAGACACTGAGTAGAAGAGAGGAAGCACATTTAATTCAGTAAATATGTTTGTATCGTTTCGAGAATTTTTAAAGCAATTCTTTGTCATCTTGATTGAACCATATTTTTACCCAAATAGCTCTATTAAGTATAATGAAGGAAATCTAATACCTAAGTGATGAAATAACTTATGTAAGTTGTATAATTTATGAGGCCCCTAATCTTTGTTTACTGTTTTCTTTTTCTCTTACAGCAAGCTAGTACTTTAGCAGATCTGGACAGTGGAAATATGGAAAAAGTCATTCAAGATGAAAATGTTACTCTATATGTATGGGCAAACCTCAAGAAGAATCCAAGGTATTCCCATGGGTGATACTGTAGTTGAAAGACATAAGAGTCATGTCATGATGACCAGGCAGTTGCCTGTTGAACAATAGCATGGCATGCTTGGAAAAAACCATGTTAAGAAGTCAGCCAAATAGGGTTTGAATTATAGACCTGCCATTTGCCATAGGCAAGTTACTTAGCCTTGTTGAGCTGCAGTATATCAATAGTAAAATGATGATTATATTACTTAATAGGATTGGGTTGAGGATTAAATATTAATGCACGTAAGGTCATGGCATATTGTCTAGTACCAATACATGCTGAATAAATGTCAGTTCTTTCCCTTCTCTTCACCCACTTAACCATCTTCCCCCTCCAAAAACGTAGAAGAGGTAGGTGCATTTTACACGGTAATCTGAAACTTTTAAAAAAATTATCTTTGTGAACTGTTAAAAATAATACTTTCCAAAAAATAATACTTTCATCTTTATTAATTTTTTTAGAGATTTAAGTGGTGTTTCCCCAATTATTTTCAACAAAGTAACAGCTCTCTGAGGAATGATAGTGGTAATGATAAATTTATAATTACTTGGCTGCTGCTTGATCTTAAACATTTCAAATTAATTGAGTTTATATGATAGTGAGTTTTAGGCAAAAAATACCAGAATAAAAGTTAGGAGGCCTAGGTTCTGGTCCCAGCTCTGAAAAGATGAGTCATATGACAATGGAGTAAGATAGACTTTATTTTTGATATTTAGTTAAAGGAAGGAACTAAATATTTTCCACATTTCATTTGCTACAAGATACTCTGGTTTAAATCTAAATCAGATACTGTGTATTAATATAACTTTTTTTTTTCCATAAAATGTTATATACAGAAGAATGAAGGGAATCAATCTATATAATTTTAAAAGAATAAAAGTAAAATGAATAGCCCTGTATTAATTACCCAGGTCTAAAAAGAGAATTAGGTGGTTCTTTTACTAAGAAAACAAATAGTGGAGGCAGAATAAGTTCTGTTTTATTTTGATGATGAGGAGATTTGTAAGGATGGACTTGTCGAATTTGAAGTACCTATGAAATATCAAAGTGCAACTGTCTGAAGGCATTGAGGAAATCAGATATTTTTAGGAGTGACTATTAGCATATAGTCACCTATAAGCTAATGCTTAACTTTTTGGGTGTTGTAGATTATTATAAACTTTAAATTATTCCACATGCTCACACATATGTAAAGGCATTTGGGGGCCTCTTAAAGTTCATCCAGGATGTTTTTTCCCTACCTAACCCCAGGAAACATAGAACTTATATTAAAAACTTCTGATAATATAAATAATAATTGAAGCCATAGAAATCATATCTTAGGAGAGTATGTAGAGGGAGAAGAAAAAAAGGGCCTAGGATGGAGAGCCGAGTAATATTAATATTTAAGGGATGGTTAGGAAGAAGGCCGTACAAAGGAAACAAAAGGAGCTGCCAGAGATGGATCCCAAGAGAGTGGATCCAAAGAGAATGTTTTGAGAAGGATAACATTATCAACTGGGTCCAAATCCTACAAAGAAAGGTAGTGAGGGTCAGGATTCGAAACTGTGACAGAATTAAAGTGGAGAGAAATACTGCTTAAATTTGCAACAGACCTAGTTTCCTTAGGCCTCATCCTCTTTGTTAAAATTATTAACAGATACAGAAGTGTCAGATTCTCTGAAACACAAACTAGATTTGAACTTCCACGGATATTAGCAACGAGTGACATTGCCCTACGACTCCTGCATACCCACTATGATCATGTCACGCCACCATTCCCTGTTCGAGCATTGTCACAAGAACGCACTTCCACAGAAGCTCACTTTGTCGAAGGTGAAGTTAATGTTGTAGAAACAGAAATCCCTGAAGATTTTGAAGAAGAGCATAAACAACGAGAAAATGAGTCTATCTCAGTTCATGAGGAAGAAATAAAAATTGAAGAACAAGTTGATACTGAAGTACAAAGGGTAGGACACATTTAATGTTTAAATTTTTTCTTCATGCAATAAGTATTATTAAATCCCCTTGAAGCATTCTCGAGATTTTTCCTAAACAACTAGAAATTGTGTGAAAGCCACTTTCTTGCCAGTGACCTAATTTTGAATGTGCATTTTTCTTCTTGCCTTCTATTAATAGTCACTGATGATAGTTGAGCTTGTTGCTTCAACATTCTAAAGTTCAGCATAGGGGTCGATCATTTTTGTATTAGGTACACTCCTGAAAAGCTTTGAAGCAATTTAAATTTTGTGTATTTATTTTATTTCAAACTCACTTAAGGGAGTTTGCCGTTAAAATGGAAACTCGCATTTTCCATTTTACAAACTGAGGGATTATGTTACATTGTTCTATTACTTCCTAAGCTTTTGGTTTTGCAAGAACAAATTTTATAAAGTAAAATTAATTTTCTTACACTAAAATTAATTTTCTTGCACTTCTCTCTTAAAACTTGACGTCTTTAGATATAATAACATATTATTTGAGTAGTTTAATAATAATATTCCTTTTTAGGTTTCTGCTCTGTTTTCTATTTCCAGGATCTTTGAGCTACTTATTATGTTAGAACAAATTATCTCTTTAGAATTTTAGTAATACTTTCTCAGAAGTAAGCAGCTTTTTTGTTTGGCCATAGACAATTTGCATTTTAGGAAGTATCAGAGGAAATAATGGTTTCCTACAAGTGCTTAAGACATGAAATATATTGGTTTATTTTCTTTAAACACATGTAAGGGTTAAGAATTAGATTAAATACAAATTTCAAATTAGAATAGGAATTGTTAGATATTCTAAGAACATATTTAATTGAAAATTCCATTAGAAATCTTCCAGAAACAAAAATCATAAAGGTTATATAACAATGTAGGCTATGGATATGACATAATGGTTGTTAGTACAAACAATATAAAAATTAACAAGGCTCAAGGGGAGGAGAACCCAGAAACCTGTATATAGCTGATATTTTAGATGGAAAATAAAAATTTGTCACTTAAAAAAAAATTGTTCTTTGAGCAATTTGATAGTTTTTAAAATAAATTTTAGTTAACCTCTCAGGTAGGATGCTAGCTTTACTAGAGTTCAGTATTTCCAGTTCTCTTCTCTTTCCTGGACATATGGAATGATTATACTCTATGCCTCCTTAAAGTTAGGTGTGACTCTGCGATTTGCTTTAGCTAAGATGTGAGTGGAAGCGACATACTGATTTCTAAGAGAGAAAACAAATGAGTAAATGGACCCTGAACTTATTTAAATTTGAAGTAGGAAAAAAAAGAAAACCCATTAACTTAAAATTTGGCAAGATTTGCGATTGAAAAATTCACAAAAACAAAGAACAAATAAAAAGGAATCAAAATCGTTGTATGAAAAGCACATCTAAAAATGTTTGGTCTTGATCTGATAAAAATTTAGATAATGTCTCCTCTCAAGTTCCTTTGTCATAATTACTATTTTATGAAACCCATCAACGTATTACCCAAGAATTTTACTTTATTTATTTTTAAATTCTGAAATAATAATTAAAAAAATAATTTGAAATACTGAATTTACATGGCTAACGCAATTCTTATGCACATGTGTTTCAGTTAAAGCAGACTAATGCAGTGATGTTTTATTATATGTGAATTTTGAAAATAGTTTTATATTTAAAATTGTCATATGAATTTACTATGATACTAAACAGTGCAGTTTTATACTTTTCTCAAGGTCTATCATGTATTATAGTAAAGAGTCATTTCCTGTGTTCTCAGCCAGTGAGCTCAGAGGTTCCAAACTAAACTTTCCTCATAGTGAATGGTTCTTACCAGTGTGTTTAACTACGCCTGGTTTTCCCATTATTATTTAATGTTTTATTGAACAGTTTCAACTTATAATGACTAAAGGTATGCTTATGCTAATGTTTATGCCCCCAAAAGTACACCAAGGAAAAAAACATTCTACTCGATGGTAAAATGCATATTTTATGTAATTTTGAGGCTGTCCTTAAATAAGTAGCATAAAAAACCCAGAGAAAAGATCAACAGAAATAGTTTTACTTTATGAAACCTTCACAGTCTAGTAAGCTTGACTGAAAATTATGTGAATGGCAGACGGAGTTACTTGGCTGGAGGAACTTTATGTTATCAGGGTATTGAGAATAGCAGATGAGGATAGCATTAATTTAGTGAGCACCCCTCTTTCCAGGAACCAGTTGTCTCCTCACATAGTACAAACAATGTAAAAATTAACAAGGCTCAAGGGGAGGAGAACCCAGAAACCTGTATATAGCTGATATTTTAGATGGAAAATAAAAATTTGACACACCAAACAGGCATGTGTGTAGATGATTGTGCTTATGTATGTGTGAACTGTCATTCTTCCAAATCCCACATGGCATTCTGAAAAAGATAATATGAATAATACTGAAGTGTGTATGGTTTCCCCAGAAGCAGAAAAATCTCATAGTAGTGGTTAAGTGTCCCAACGCAGGAGGAAAAGCCATCTCTTGTGCTGAAGGAAGATGCTGGGAGAGGAGGTGGGACCTAGCAGTAACTGCTTTGAGTGTGGAATCCCCCAGCTCACAACCACTTGTCATGCTAAACTGGGTAGGAAAGGAGAGCAGGCTTAAGCAATCGTCAGCTGAGTCTGCGCTTGCCACTAATTCTGAACAGTGCAAGCCACCTTTTGTAAGTGTGAGTAGCCTGCAAGGGGTAAAAATCACTGGATTTATAAAGAAAATCAGCAGCTCAAAAGAGAGGGACAGTGATAATTTGATGAAATTTATGGGGGGGAATAAAAGTAAAAGAAATGGTAGAAAGACGTAGGATGTTCAATATCTATAGAAAAGGAGTTCCAGAAATCGAGACGGGAAAGGGTGAGTTTAATATAATAACTGGCACGGGACAGCAGGCTAAGATTTGAAATAAATTTCTATTCATACTTCTCTCTACAAACTAAAAGAAAAACAGATTAAAGGTTTAAATATAAAAACAAACTGATCAAAACTCAATAAAAGTATTTGAAGAGAACATAGGGAAGTTATTTTATTATCTTTATTAAGAAGGTCTTTTTTGTTTATCAGTACATCAAAATCAAAACCATAAAATAAAAGGAGAGTAATTGGATTCAAACGTTTCTATAGCCAAATAAACCTGACTGTAAATGAAGTTGAAAAACAATGAACTGAGAAAAACATTTAAACACATAAAACAAAGGTTAATTATCGTAATACAAAGGATGCATACAAATTGGTAAGGTGATTTCCTAATATGAAATTAGGCAAAGGACTTGAGTAGACAGCTGAGAAAAGAAATGCTATTAGCCAATAAAAATATGAAAAAATATACAAAAAGTAATCAAATTAGAACCAACTGTATATCATTTCTTAACAGACTGAGCATGAGTGGGAACAGGCATTTTCACATACTGTTGTTAGAAGTGTAAATTTGTAATCTCTCTAAAGGTAATTTGGCACTATGTAAATATACCTATTAGTAATTTTAATGTTAGTAATTTATTATTATGAAATAATAGTCCAAGTACTGGCATATGTAGTTTTATTGTGTTCCACTTTATTGCACTTCTTAGATATTGTGCTTTTTGCAAACTTAAGGCAAGACTTTTCCAGCAGCAAAAAGATTATGACTCACTTTATTGCAGTGATCTGGAACCCAACCCACAATATCTCTGAGCTATGCCTATAAATAAAAATATATGTGCTACCATGTTCATTGAAGTATTTTTATAACAGCAAATATAGTTCACAGATTAAATTAATTATAAAATATTCAACAGGCAAATACTAGTAGTCATTCAAAATGATGATATAGATTTTATATACTTTTAAAATTTTTAAATATTGAGATATAATTGACTTATTAATTTTGGATATACAACATGATGATTTGGTATTTGTATATACTGTGAAATGGTCATCACAATAAGTTAATATCCATTACCACACAAAGTTACAAATTTTTTTTTTCTTGTGACGAGAACTTTTAAGATTTCTCTTAGCAACTTTCAAATATACAAAATAATATTAACTATGGTGACCATGCTGTATATTACATCCCCAAGACTTATTTATTTTATAACTAGAGAGTTGTACCTTTTGGCCACCTGTACCCATTTTACCCACCCCTCCCCGCCACCTCTGACAACCCTCAGTTTCTTGTATTTATAGGTTTGGTTATTTGTTTATCGACTTATTTACATATTTATTCTCACATATAAATGAGATCATCTGATATATGTCTTTGTCTGATTTATTTTACTTAGCCTATGCCCTCCAGGTTCATCCACAGTGTCACAATGGCAAGATTTCCTTTTTTTTAATAGTTGAATAATATTCCATTATATATATATACACCACATTTTCTTATCCATTCATCCATGATGGACTCTTATTTTGTTCCCATGTCTTGACTATTGTAAATAATGCTGCAATGAACATGGTGTTGTATAGATCTCTTTAAGTTAATGTTTTTTTTCTGTTTTAAATAAATACCCAAAAGTGGACTTGCTAGATCATATGGTAGTTCTATTTTTAATTTTTTTGAGGAAACCACTGTTCTTCAAAGTGGCTGCACCAATGTACATTCCCCCTAACAGTGCATTAGGGTTCCCTTTTCTCTACATTCTCACCAACACTTGTTATGTCTTATATTTTTTATAATAGCTGTTCTACAGGTGCGAGGTGGTCTCATTGTGCTTTTCATTTGCATTTCTCTGATGATTAGTGATGTTGAGCACCATTGCATGTACCTGTTGGCCATCTGTATGTCTTCTTTGGAAAAATGTCTATTTGGATCCTCTGTCCATTTTTTAATCAGATTGTTTTTTTGTTTTGCTGCTGAGTTGTATGAGTTCCTTATGTATTTTGGATATTAACCCCTTTTCAGATATTTGATTTGCAGATATTTTCTCCCATTCAGTATATTTGCAAATATTTTCTCCCATTTCATTTTGTTGAGGATTTCCTTTGCTGTGCAGAAGC